CCTATAATATTTCTTTCTCAATACACTCCTTTTGTTAGGACCATCTGTAGTGCCTACTGAGACCACTTGAGTTCCCCAGTTTGATGCTGACAGGCTTCTTTGGTGATGTAACGTCATCTAAGATGCATTCAGTGCCTCTGCAGTTTGACAGCATAAAAACATTTGATTTCACTATGTAAAAGTTTATAGAAGTGGTGTCTGCTATTTACTTTTAATTTAAGATAAATGTAGTTAAAGAATATAGCCTCCATATGCTTCTGCATGCCATACACTAAGACGAGGGTATACAAACATAATCTTGTGGGTATAAATATAAAACCAGAAGACAGAGACTGTTGTACTGAATGTCCCATTAGCAGTCCTTGTTCACTATCCTGACAGGATCCTGTACCGTCAGAAAGGGAAATTTCCTCCCCAAGCTGTACGTTTAACACCTGACTTACGCCTTGAAGCAGAGTGGTTGCATCTGCAGATATTATCATTGTTCCTATTAATTGTTAACTTTTGTGGGCACCTTAATGAGTGTATTCACGCTGTCTGTTAAACAATTCCAGCCGTTCCCTGAAAAAAAGGTACTCTCTTTTAGCATTTTAAACCTGGTTACCTTTCAGTTTAATTAATGATCTTGTTTTTATCGTTACAAGAGAAGGTGTACTTTTTGTTTAGTGCTAGATGTTGGTTTATATCAACAGAACTGCATTAAATTGTCGTCCTACAGTTTGGCCCCAAGTGTTTAATTCCAGTTTGGTGGCATTGACTGGTGGTAATAAGAAAGAAAAGCAGGAGTTCAAAAGGAAGTCCTGCATTTCCCCTCTTTGTGGGAATCAATATTATAACTTGAAACCCCTTATCTGACAGTGTCCTGTATTAGCTCTTTCTATTCATATGCTTGTGTCCATTTTAAATGTTGCAGAGATGGTATAAATCACACATTATGTATAGGAGGGATTTATTGTTACCATGTGATCTTTTTCTCAGTGCATAGGGCTGCAAATGGACTGCATTTACCCTCCGGTGGTATCCCACTTAAAAAAAAACAATGAGATGTTGACATAGCAGAAATGGCTTTGCGGCATGAGTTTATTTAAAACCATTCTGACAGAACTGAGGATTACGGGGAAATATTTTTTATGCAACATAAACCACATATGAACCAAACCTATAAGTAGTTTGAAACCACTGCGGAGAAATAATTTTACTCACTTTCTTGAAGGTCCCCAGAAAACACATTTGTCTCATTCTGTTTCCAGAGGTGCCTGTATTTGAAAATATTTTTCTCTTAAAGGTTAGAGCTAACTTAACTGAGAGGTAAGTTTGCAGCAGGCAGAAATGAAGTGACTAGTTCCTGAACAAACCACTGGAGTGGATCCCTCAGCTCTGCTGCTTCCTGTCTGGCCCTTCTCAATCCATTAAAATGTCCTAATGGGCTTTTGTTTTATTATTTAATTTATTTTAGCAGTTCATGCTGCTCACCTCAAGCATAGTTGTAAGCATGTAAGTAGAAATCCTGTCATTTCTTATGACTGACAAACTGTAAATATCAGGTCCATTAAGCTCAGGCTTTTGAAGATAATTCAGTTCAAACTGAAGAAATCATGCATTGGCATAATCTTTGAAGATATTTGCAGACTCTTGAATGGAAATAAGTTGCCTCCTGCTATGACTGAAATGCACTGTACTGCCTAGGCCAATCTGAGGAGGTGTGGGGTTTTGGTGTGTAAGGGTACCAGGTGTTCATGTCTGGCATTTTATTTTGAGCATGTGAAAAAAGAAGTGCCTGCTCTCCCAGCAAGGTGATGCAGCTGCCAGTTGGGTCACCAAGAGGTGTTCATCTGGGCCCACCAGCCTAGTAACACTGTTGGTGCTGGTGAGTGCGAAAGCCCAGGAAAGTGGGAAGCAAGCGGAATGTTTCCTCTTTAGGTAGTATTTTAGGCATCAAAAAAAGCTTTTTGAATTCCTTGCTCTTTGGCTGCTGCCTTCTCTCCTTGCTGACACTGAGGCTTTGTTGCTCTGTCAGGAATGACCAGATTGAGTTACTGGAGTCTGCATTTCTAAAGATTCCTAAAGTAGAGAAGAGAAGCAGTTCTGTATTTTCAGCCACCTGCCTGTCCTGAAGCACCTCCCAGGAGATCCTCCTCCTCTCCTCCTTTAGATCTTAATGTCTCTTACTAGACTATCCATTATATTTTTTTCTTTACAACAACTCCTCTGTCCATGCTTATACATGTATAATCTACTATATTATTTGTTGGTTTAACTTTCCTCTATCCATGTTTACTATTGCCACTAATTTCTTTAAGCTCTGTGATCTCTGTCAAATATTTACCCTGATCTCACACGTCCATATATATCCATCGCTTCTAGCATCTAGATAGGCTCAGCGAATTATTTGTATGCTTAAAATTAAGAACATTTGTGCAGAACATCAGGCCATTAGATAGTAATTCATTGCAGCATGAAGCGTCTGGTTTAACATCGATATTTAGAAGTTCCCTCACTTGTGCTGCCATTAATAAATGTCAGGAATAAATTGTGGTCTTCCGTCAGGTAGCAGTAAACATTGAAACATGATGGTTTATTATGCAATTGCAAATATTGCTTCGTGGGGCTGGCAGTGTAAGATATTGTTCACTTCCCTGCAGACGCTAGCGGTTGTAGCGATGCTGAGATGGTTTGCATACACTTGGCCATACTTCATGTGGACAAGTTTGTGTTGCCAAATCTTTGGTGTCCTTGCTGAAGGTAATGAGGCTACACAGACCTTGGGCATCAGAGTCTATTACTTGTTTAACCTTCCTGAAGAGGGCAATTACACCGCTTTGCTGTACAGAGTGGTGACCTCTGTCCTCGTGCTCTCGTAATTGAGAAGGGGAATGTCTCTGAGTTTCTGACTGCTGGAGTTGAGAGATAGGAAGGGTCACAAGCATTGAAAGTGAAGGGCAAGGATCAGCAATTTAGAGGTAGTTATTAATATGCTGATTTACTGTCACTTGAGTCTAAAGAGACTTTTAACAATTGCTTGCCTTTTGCACGCTCTTCAAAATGCTGATTTTTTTCCTTAGAAATCTAATTACATTTTAATAAGATACTTTTTTATTTTCAGGTGCTTGCCAACCCATCTCTTGCTTCAATGCAGTACTGTAGCTAAAAACCAAAAATAGTGTGTATTCATTGCAAAGTTACACCCCAGTAAATCCTTTAACTGTAAGAAAACAGAGAGTTATTTTTCCCTTCTTCATGCCCTCCTAGTTGCATTAAGTGCTGGCAACAAGGAGAAATATATGCAACCTCAAAAACTTGAATTACTTAGGAATCTCCATAAAAATAATATCATATATTGGTAAAGTTAAATAATAAAATCTGGATTAAATCATTTAGTCTTCTGTAGCTTTATGATGCAGTGTGTGAACTTGGCTGAAATCACAGCCTGACATGACTAAACTCTTGGGGCCAAATGCAATTCCTAACTCTGTGCCTGACTTTATTGCTTTAATCAAGTCATGACCTGTCTCTGCTTTGGTTAGCCTACAATGCAGGATATAAATAGCCTATGATCTTGGAGATTTTGTGAGAATTATTTATTATTAATGAAATTAAAGGCTCAATGATGTGCATGCTATTCTTATTTATTATAATTACTTATTAATAATGCACTGAAACTTAAGCAAGTTTTTTTATAGGCTTCCTGTGACTCAGATTTATACATTTATACATCTGTCCTCCATCATGGCTATACAGTGCCATTATCCACCCTGAAAAATTAATCATTATAGTCCAGAAAAGGACAGGGGTGTTGAAGGAAAAGGGCATTGACCTAAAATAGAACTGGGGGGAAATCAGTGCATCTAAGTCCTGGGCTGTGCTCTTGCAAATGCTATTTGACTTTTTCCTGGCCCCAAAGGCATCTGAGTCCAAATTCAGAGACCTCAGCTCCAGCCTGGCCCTGTGCCTGTTGTTTCCTGTTGTCACAACCCCGTCTTAGAGACCTTGTAAAGCTTTGGGCAGGGGACCAGAGAAATGTATCACATCAGGATGTGGGCTGCAGCCCTGGCAGTGCTGTGTGTGAAGGAGCTCTGCCTCTGCCCATGTGCTAAGGCACTTCAGGTCAGATGGAGCTCAGCAGAGTGATGCTGTCCTCAGCCAAGACCTATAGAGCAGTTGTTTTTTTTTCTTTTTGTTTTGTTTTTTTTCTGTTAATGGGTCCATTCAGTAGTGCTCTTACAGCAAGCTGTCGTGCAGCGTAAAAGCAGCCTTCTAGTGAAGTGTAGTGGCTGCAGCCCCTTTCTGTCATGACCACAGGCTGAATGCTCATGCTCTTCCTCCTGAACATCTTCATTTATGCAAGAGATTCAGAGGTTCAGATGGCCAGAGAATGGGAGAGCACAAGGGGTAGAACAGTATTTAGGGAGCACACCTGATGTTGACACCTTGCCACAAGAAACGTGTAGCTGCAAGCATCTGCAGAGGTCACCACTCTGCATGGGGAAGCTGCTCAGACAGTTGTTCCCTTCATCTGAAATGTGGGAAAGATGGCAGTTTTGGAGAAGGACACTTTCTTTTATATCTTTTAATATTTTTTTTTTCCACTTAGAAGCAGTTTCAGTGTCGTGTGTAGCGTGTACATCGCAGCTTGGGTATCCTGGCCTTGACCAAATCTGTTTTACAGCACATAGCTGCAGTATTCTATCTATGCTTGTTTGGTAGTACAATGTATCATTGGTTAAACTGTTGCCCCAACCCTTAAAATGACTGCCTCCTTGAGAATATTGAATTTATATCATCATTTTGATAACATACTGCTCAAATAAGAATGTGTCTTTATGATTTTGTCAAGCTTCTAGCACATCTTTGACTGACGCATGAATAATGACCTCCAAATAAATCAGCTTTATCCTATTAACCCAGGAGAGTGATTCTCACATAGAACATGAGTACCAACTGCATAGAGTATAATACAATATATATAACAATATCAAGATTTCTGTACCTCTACTTTTCAGCTGTTACGTGCTTGTCGGAGTATGACGACTCTGCTGATGTCGGTGACTGCATGCGGTGGGCAGGATCTATGCCGTCTCTTGTACAGGAGTGTCTCATTCCCTGCAAAGATGACTGCACATTTAGCCCCTGGTCTAAATTTACAGCATGCTCATTTGACTGTGAATCAACTAGAAGTAGGAGACGGTCACTCACAGGTATAATCTTTTATAATATTTATCTGATGGTGATACTTGTGAATAATGCTTCTCAGGTGTTGGTGGACTGATGTTGGACTTTTGGGAAAATCCAGACAGAACAGTGATTGTCTGTAATTGAATTTTGATCTGATACTGATCATTGCTTGCTTTATGCACACACATTTCGGTATGAGAATAGGGCAGAAAAACTCAGTGGTGGAAAGCCATTTTTAGATATAAACCGAATGAAATAGTGACTATGCATTGTGCAAGTTTATCTGACCTATTGTCTGGGAAGCATACATCAAATATGTATACAAGAATAAAAATCAGTCCGATTTTCTGTGTAAGACTGTTGAAATCTGCACGAAGTTTAAAGCTGTGAGTTTTGTGCTCAGAGGAGTCCAGTAGTTCAACAGGGCAAATTAATAGCATGAATAAAGAAAAAGCAGTATCATTAAAACAGTTTTGTTTGATCTTGTATATATATTCATTAAACACTCTAGTTCAAACCATTTCATGGAACAGTCTCCCGTATTTGCTGTTGTGGTTTGTTATTATGTGACTTGAATGCTGATCAAACTGAAAAGATTTAAAACCCTATAACATTAGTAGTTTGGAGCTGTTTTTTTGTTAGGAGTTGTCTTCCCCCCCCCCCCCCCCCCCCTGAATTACACTGTTTTCAGAAGGTTTACAAGAAATTTACTGTTATCCTGAACACTCACATCTTTTTGTATTTCTGTCTTGTGTTTGAGAGCTATGGTGTAGCTGTCTTGAGCTTGCTCCGTTAATATGGGTATAACCTCAAAGACTTCTACTATGGAGTAAAATATTACTAACATTGCTGCAAAAACATGTACTGCGTTAATGCCTGGGAACTGAATGGCAGCAAAGTATGGTGGCTACCGCTGATCCTTTCTTCTAGACTCACTTGTACCGGGCTGCATGGCTATCTTGTTATTCAGTTAGTTACTGTTGGAATGATCCATGTTTTTAGTAACTAACAATTACAGTATACAGAACATAATGACTTGAACCTGCCATTTGTCAGTGTGGCTCATTAAAGGATAAAGATTTCTCATTTACATAAAAATAATTACTATACAATGCTCTGTTGTTTCTGAACAAAGAGCATATTCTGTAATGTTCTCTGTATCAATGCCTGTATGTTTATAGTAGTAGAAATCCTCTATCCCTATCAGAATAATAGGTGCCTGATCTTACAGAAAATATGTCAGAATTAAGTGAATACTTACTTCCAGGTAGTTTTAAATCTGAATTTTCTTTATTAACATCTGTGACAGTTACAAAACAGTATGGTCCTGTCTACTCCTTTCTTAATCTGTTCTACATCAGATGTAGCTCCATTCAAGTAAGTGGACCCAGGATGGTTTCTGATATTCAGGTTTTGATGGCTTGTCTCCTCACCCGCACTGCATTTGTGACCAAACACCATCTGGCTCTCCTGGGAGGCCTTGCTGGGTTCCCTCCTTCCTGTCGGGAAGGAGCTCGTGGTCTCAGCCCGCTCCCAGCAAAGGTGCCCTGAAAAGCAAGGGGTGAACTTACAGTGGGTGGTGCTGTGGTGTGGAGGCAGCACACCACCACAGAGAGCAGTGAGAAGGGACCAAATCAGACGTCGGTTTTTGTTTTACCACAGTTCAGAAGGGGAAGTCGATGAGATCAGTGTTTGACCTGTCTTTGCATAAAACTTCATGAAAATTAGAGCTGGCCAAAAGTCTTGGAAAAAGCCTCACCCATGTGAACTCAGTCCAAAGCTTTAAGGAAAGGGCTGTTTGGGAAGTCCTTCATGCTGTTAAGACTCCTTAATCCCTTTGTATTTCACCTTTCTGTAAGTGTGCATGAGTTGTACCTCATTGTTCAACACTCTGTGTCTGCTCAAGTGAATGCTCTGGCTTCACTGTAAGAGTTCATTAACAATGTCATTTAGTGGGAATCTGCTAATTGTTTGCTGAGTATTTGCTTGCCTCCCACTCTGTTTCTAATAGTATTATTCATTTCACTTGGTAAGTAATCATAGACTCTACATATAAAATTAGTCATTATTTAAGAAGCAAAAGACTTATTACAGAACATATCAAAATTCAAAGTCATTATAATGGAAACACATTTTTTAGGTAAGAATTAATACAGTCAGTTCACAGTACTATGGATACAATGCATTTTCTGCAGGAAGGTGTATTTTTAATATTTCATATAACTTTTATATACAGTGTATACTACATAATATTTAATGTATATAATATTAGTGTTCAGAAATGTAATTAAAAAAAGAAAATACTATTTAATTGAAGCGTTTATGTCTGAAAGTTTTGGCAGTGGTATTTTTAATAGTGATTTCTAAAGCAGCCTGTGAAGACGATAAAAATATCACCACCACTAATTCTAAAACTAATTTATGAAGAGTATGGGATGAATGTTGCTTTTGCCCTCAAAATGGGGCTTTCATAGCAACTTTCATTAGAGGGATGATTCCTACAAAACAGATGGCAGGGCAACTTGGAAAAAAAGTGTTGTATAAATGTGAGATTATTAGCATCCTTACCTGTGTCTGATGTGCTTCATGTAATAATGGCAGAACATGGGCAAGTCCCCAATTCCCATGTTTACTAATACAGTGCAGAACTACAGCTGTCTGTATAATTTGAGTTTGTGGCTTCTGTCAGCTCATCAAACATAAAATGCTGGAAATGCCACTGGAGAGCTCCCAATCTATTTAAAGCCTTTTAAAAGAATTTCCTTGAAGTATGTGGAGTTGACCCTCTTATATCTTACCTGAGTTGGCTCATAAACATATATATACACAAAAATATAAAGATGCTCACACTATTTGATTTCTTTAACTTTATATTCCCTTTGTGCTGGCAAACTTTACATTCTCTAGAACTCTGGAAATACAGTTTTCAAAAAGCTGGGGCTTGAAGGACGATGATATTAAGGGTCTACAGTCAGTGCCCTTTTCTTTGGAGGTATATGCTTTTATGCAAACAGCTATTGATGACAGCCAGCTTGTGCTCCTACTGATGTGTGGTGGAATGACTCTCGATTCCAGGCTAGAAAGGGTTTTTTTGGGGTTATATAACTTATTTTCTGGTTTTAGCATCTTATTTGTGTGCAGTACCAAAGAGAAAATATTTCTTTTCGGATCAAAGCTTTAAAACTTTTTGCAGAAGTATTTTTAGTGTGTTCAAGATCCCCAAGGAACATTTTGAGAATGGGATACTGATACAGTTTGTTAGTGAAGATGCATCTGTACAGATGCCAGATGAAAAGACGTCCCTGAGCTCAGCCAGCATAAAGATTGCTCCATGTCATGTTGGCTAACCCATGCCAAGAAAAGTACTGATTTTATCTTTAGAGGCTGAATACAGACCTTTGTTCCCTTGAGAAGTTGTAGGGATGGAGGGAGCGTGGATTCTCTTCTTCACATTATCTTTTCTTGTACTGGGGATCTCTTCTCATGCCTAGAAGTCCTCCAGGAACAGGGCACGGAGAGTGCAGGTGCAGAGAGCTGTACTACAGGTTTATTTGAATGTTGCTCTTTCCTGAAGCTACTGAAAGAGTCTTCTTTTAAAACCTGTTGAAGGAATAGAACAAAATGAAACATTAAACCATATAAAACCATTGAAATACTTTGTGGCCCTAATGATTTACTGAGGATTATCTTTTCTGTTTTCTTCAAAGTACAGTTTGTGTGCTGAGTGCATCTTTAACTAATTTGTAAGGTAGCCTTAAAGAAGAAGTTGTGGCTAATGTGGAATCCTCTGGAAGTTGTCCTAGCAACCATTGATTGTGAGCAAATAGAGACAAAACAATCAATTTATTTTCATCCGATAATTAGAGAAAGATGATATTATATGAAATTGCAAAGCATTTTCTGTGCAGATCGTTCCTAGAGTAAGACTTAGTGTTTTGCTCCTTGCCCTACCCATCAAAACAGGATTTCCAAGTTCCCTGGTTGCCCCTGGAGATAAATACGTTGTCCTTGCACTCCAGAGCACTGGCAGCAGCTAATAGATGCTTCGGAAATGTTCCTGAATATTAACATTCAGATTGTTTTGGTTCTAATGTGTTGAATTCATGCAAGTATAAATAATATGACGTGTTGTTATCAAAAGTAGCAGATGTTAAGCTAACGAACAGATTTCTGTGGTTGGAACAGGGCGAAGCAGAAAGCGAGACAAATGCCAGAATACCGAAGTTTATCCTCAAGTTGAAACAGAGCTGTGCCCCTGTGAGGTGTTTACCTCCCAGCCCCATGGAAATTGGTCGGACTGCATTATCGGAGGAGGCACATCTGAGCTGCAGTTGGGAACGCAATCCCACAGAGATGCCAAGGAGTGTGGCGACGGTGTACGGCTTCGAGCTATTGCCTGTTATGATAAGACCGGCAGACTCGTGGAACCATCTCGCTGTAGCAGTTCGGGTAAGGAGATTTAAAAAAGTGCACAACACGTGTAAATAGCCCTCATGTTGAGCACAGTCACCCACTCAGAGGTTCATTTTGGAGCCTACCACAGGTGTGTACCTGTTTACTTGCTGGATTGAACAGCTTTTGCAAAGTTACTGTGCGTGTTGAACAACCTTCTTCTAATACCTTCTTATCACTCTTAATACTGATGTTTTCCTCAGTATAAGGGTCTTCTGGCATTTCTACAATGGAAATGAAGAGGGCTAAAGTTGACTATGCTACCAGAATACCAGTGTATTTCTTTTATTTGTATTAAAATCCTGCAAAAGTATAAGCTTAGGAGAAGAAGCTGTATTTCTATCAGCATTTTGTTTGAAGATATTTCCTACTTCAGCTCTTACTTGTTAATAAATTTTTATTTTCACTAAATTTAGAATTTCATATGGTTGTTTTCAATGAAGGAATTGGAATTTTTCTTGAGAAAATCGTATTTAATTGCAAAAACCCAGTGATGTCACCTGCTGTTACTCATGCCAAGGGCACATGACTTCAGCAGTCAGTGGTCTCATCCTTGCAATTTTGTGCCAGTCTCAAGCTCAAATTGGTACATGTATATTCCAGTGTTGTAGCTTGCTGGGGCTCTGGGCTGTGGTTCTGTCCACTTATATTTCACATATAATCAAGCAGCTTATATCAAAGAGAAGCAGGGCAAAATTAGAAGTAGAGCAAGCAGGAAACATCATTCCATCTGGGTATTTTCTCCCAGTTTCCATGACTTGCAGTTCATCACAATCAGTATGCTAGATCAATTTACAGACAGAAGCCCTTATCTTAAGGGCAAATTCTGTACCTATGCTGCTCCCAAAACACAAATACTCTCTGACTTACAGTCAAGAAACTTAGGACGCCACACAATGTGATGTAGTAGGTTGGAAAGTTGCTGGTGAGCTATATATGATGGGAGAGGGAGAAGTGATGTCTCAGGAGGACATTAAGTAATATGGTGGGAACCATTAATATTGCTGAGTATATAAGGGAGCACAGAAAGAAGAGGGGCTGCTCTGTGGAGGGTCTTCAGGGTGAGGATCAGCAGCCTGAGCTGCATGTAATAAAATGAAAAAACCCACCCTAATGAAGTGGTTGAGTCCTGGAGTGAATTCCTCTCGCAGCTGTTGATGGCTGTTCCAGCTGGCTGCACAGATTCATAAAGCAGCTTTCTGTGGTTTGTGTTTCAACAATGTGCTGTTGTACCAATTGATTATGCCTCTGTGGCCCATGAAGGAGGAATGCTATACCTTTCCCCCACAACATTACCTTTTCTTCTGCAAAAAGGGAGCTGTTGGGTTCTGAAAGGTGGGTTTGCCTGCGCCGTGACTTGCTGTTTTGGAAAACTCAGGGTTTTTATCACTATTAAAAGAGGAGGTTGCCTGTGCGTGGGGCTTTTCTGAATAACCTTGAAGCCTGTTTTCTGTCAGTGATATTTATGTGGCATTTTTAATGGTCTGGCTTCTCTTAGGGAGGTAGAAGGGAGTGGTAGCTCAAGGGGATTATTGTTGGCTTTCTTGTCTTCAGCTTTTTATCTGAGCAGAAATTATTGCAACATACCCCTGGCACAGGACCCACATCAGAGGCCAGAGAGGGTGGCCAGTACTGTACGGCAGAGCCCTATTGTGTGCCTTTCCTCCTGCACTCTATTTAAATAGTGCTCTGAAGACCTTTAGGTTTGGAAATGAGATGTAAAGGAGGGGTGAGATGTTTCTACCCTCTGGATGCCCCATAAGAGTTCCCCTAATGGTGAGCTATTAATCTGCAGCCAGACCCCTATTTAATACCCAGGTTGTATAATTGCTACCCAGTGTTGAACACCTTGCGAGGAAATGGATATTGCGGTGACTTTGGCTGCAGAGTGCTCAGAAATGGGCAGAAGGCTCCATAGGCTCCACTTCCACCACTTGGGACCTGCCTTCCAACCAGAGCAGTTAAGTGAAAATAAGTACAGGGTTTGTGTGGCATGGTTTTGGTAGCAGGGGGCTACCAGAGAGAAGGTTCTAGAAGCTCCCCCGTGTCGGTGGAGCCAAGGCCAGGCGGCTCCGAGAGGGACCCGCCGCTGGCCAAGGCCGAGCCCATCAGCCACGGCGGTAGCGCCTCTGGGAGAACGTGTCCGAGAGGGGGAAAAGCTGCTGCACAGCAGCCCCTGCAGCTGGAGAGAGGAGCGAGAGCCTGAGAGAGCAGCAGCTGTGCGGAGCCCGGGGCAGCGGGGCAGAGGGGCAGGAGGGGCTCCAGGCCCGGAGCAGAGGTTCCCCCGCAGCCCCTGGGGCAGCCCCTGGGGAGGCAGCTGTGCCCTGCGCCCAGGGAGGCCCCGGGGGAGCAGAGACCCCCCTGCAGCCCGGGGGGACCCCACGGCGGAGCAGGGGGATGTGCCCCGAGGAGGCGGTGACCCCGTGGGCAGAGGGTGAGGAGTCCTCCCCTGAGGAGGGAGGAGCGGCAGCGACAGCGGGTGAGGGACTGAGCACAGCCCCCATCCCCGTCCCTGCGCTGCTGGCGGGACCGGGGAGAGAAACGGGCAGTGAGGCTGAGCCCGGGACGGAGGGAGGGCCCAGGGGAAGGTGGGTTTTTAAGATTGAGTTTTATTTCTCATTATCCTACTTTGATTTGATGGGTAATAAATTAATTGCCCCAAGTCGATGCTGTTTTGTCCGTGATGGTAATTGCTGGATGATCTCTTCTTGGACTTACCATGACACACGAACCTTTTGTTATATTTTCTCTCCCGTGCCCAGCTGAGGAAGGGAGTGATAGAGTGGCTTTGGTGTGGACCTGGCGTCCAGCCGGGGTCAACCCACCACAATAAGCCTGATATTTATGGTCTCTAGAGCTGGGAGCTTTCAAAATGCACTTCTGAACACATTATTGAATTAGTGATGGAAACAAATCATTATCCAATTAATAATTAGCAGAATGTTATTCAACCATAATAGAGAAGAGCAAATTACAGAAGCATGGAGAATTGCTAAGCCCTGAAAAATTATTCATGACAGGTTTTTTTTAGCAGCTCAGTTTGTCTTGTTCACAATTAGTATCAGGTGACCTTTTAACATTTGCTAGCTGACCATATTTATGACTAATTAAGCCATTGCTGTATATATTGAATGCCAGTCACTGTGATATCTAGGCATTGTTCTTGCTTTATGAGATGTGGGGTGCGTTCCTTTTATTTCTTTAAGTTCTTCTGACTTCTGTTTCCTGCTGTTTTCCTTTTACAGGACAGTGTTTTTCCTTCCTTTCCCTTGAAACAGGAGAGAAGTGAGAAGTTGTAAGACTTAGACCTCAGTTCTTTGCTGAGTCCTTTTAAAGAACTTTTACAAAATGTAGAAAGACAGATGTAAGGATGCAAACTTTGCCTTAGAAGTAGATTTAATTTTGTACCAGATTTGGTAATGTCATGACTACAAGGTATAGGACGAATAGAATAGAATAGAATAGAATAGAATAGAATAGAATAGAATAGAATAGAATAGAATAGAATAGAATAGAATAGAATAGAATAGATCATAGCTGTTTTAGAAAGCAAACTCTGGGCTCTTGCCTTCTTGCAAGAATGATTTTCACTTTCCCAGTCTGAAACTTGGTTGTTGAACTTACCACTGCAGTTGGGTTTAGTTCACTCGTGTCAATGTGACTTACTATGTGAATGTATCATAGTTACCAAGTGAATGTACTGTGAATTTGAGTCTAATGTAGAAATTAATCACTGTTCAGAGGGGTTCAGGGTCTGAGACTCCGATTTTATACCGTGTTTTGTGAGCAGTTCTGCATCTGCAACTTGAGGGGGAAAAAAAAAAAGAAAAAATTAAAATCTATTAATCTATGTTTGTCATCAGTCTAGACTCCAACTCTCTTAAACCTATTATCTGCAAATATATTAACCCTTTAAGCATACTGTCTCAACAGGAAATGGATTTTCTCCCCATTGGTGTAGTTGCCGCATACAGAGTATCCCAAGGTCCAAAACCAGTGAAGACAAAACACCCCAGCTGTGCCTAAATGAAAATGCACTACTAGCTTGCCTGGTGTCTAGTTTCTTCTGTAAGGACCTGAGATGTGTGCTGAAGGGACCTCTGCCCTGAGCCAGCACAGCTCGTGCGAATACTTTGGGTTAGCTGTAGCGGGTACAGAGGTCACACCCTGACTAATTTACCTGTCTTCACTGCGGTGTAATTTTGTGTTAGCTCACGATTAGATATGACAAGCTTAAAAATACAAATCCCTGACTTTTCTGAATCTTATTCCTTTTTGTACCAAATCTTTTCTCTGATGTCCAGAAAAACACACTGTAGGGTTTTTTTCATGACTGGCTTTTGTGATTACTCTACTGCTTTATTTTAGTGGTGTCATAATTTTCCTTGATTGCCCATCCAATAAGGTCAAGAAATGAGTGATTTTCAGTTTGCAAATTGAGCTAATTATTTTTTTCTGGATTTGGTTCATTCTTCTTTTCCTTCCTTTAATTTGGAAATGCATTTATGAAATTATCTCTAACTAAATTACAAAAATGTAAATGATAATTTGCCTTAATTTGTCTTCCCATCAGAAGACTGGCTTATATTGTGTTCAACTCACTGCTAGTCCAGAGGGTCTCCATTCTCTGGCTGGTGTTTGAAGCATCCTCTTTGGACGTGAAATTGTCCTCTTAATTGCAGTTTTAGCTGCTTTTCAATCTGTCATCTGAGTTCCTTGTACTATTTTTGAATTTCCACCTCCTTTGTTTTGAATTATTTCATGTAGTTCCTTTGACTCTCTTTTTTTGTGTTCTGTGCCAACATTTTTTTTTATTTTTTTTTTTTTATTTTTTTAATCTTAGAGGAACGTAGGGTGCCTCATCTGTTCCAAATCAAAGGCTGGAGATTTCTGTGCTCTTGCACAGAGGTTCTGCTTTTGATCCAACAGGCAATTTATGGAAAGCAGGAATTTATGAAGAGCGCTTATACTACTCAAATTCTGCTGTGTTCGCAACA